AATAGATCTGAATAGAAATCTGTGCACTAGTTAATGCTACTAAAACCTGCATTGCCCATTTATTGCTTCTGTCATTCTCAGGCCGAGTCTCCACTTGCCAGAGGATTGACACAGTGGGTCTAGTAAAGACCCACTAAATCAAATGCTGAGAGCACCCCGTCAGTACTGGTACTCCTCGCAGTCACAAGGAGTAAGGGAAGTTGACGGGAGTATTTCTCCCATCAACCTCCTACTGCAGGCTGCTCCAGAAAATCAGTGCAAGGTATGTCAACTCCAGCTACGCAATGCATGTTACTAGAGTTGGTTATTGCATCAATTTTCTCCACTACTGTAGATCTGGTCTCTCAGTGAAAGGTGTAGTACCATCAAGCCACAAGTGTCAGCATGATGTGAGACTAGAGAGCTTTTAAAGAGGATTACATTTTTCTGCAAAGTTGTGTGGAATAGGTTTGGCTAGATCCTGCTTTTGCTATAAATGATCATGCTCTACAGCAGCAGTGGGGAACTTTTTTTGGGTCGGGGGCCGCTGAGCCATAGAAAAATCAGTTGGGGGCAACATACAGGTGAGAAACCCCTGACTGAGAAGGAAAAAGACACTCCTCATGTTCCCCTCGCACACCAGAGCCTAGGGGAGCCCGGGCTAGTAGATTTTGTGTGCTCCAACCCTGTGGGTGGGTGGCAGGGGGCTCCCTATGTAGGGGAATCCCTGAGCCTTGGGGGGCCAGATCCAGGCAAGTCTCATCTGACCCCCAGGCTTGAGGTTCTGCACCCCTTCTCTACAGGGTTACTAGGTCACCGTTCTTCTCATCCATAATGCCTCATGAATGGAAAGAACAGGTTCTCTGTGTCTTGAAACTATATGGAGTTTGCAGGATGCCTCCCTCCTCCCCCATCCTGTACGTTTTACCTTGACTAGGAGCATGTGTTGTTGTTTTTGTCACTCTGAAGCCAGTGCTTGCAGCTAGGTGCTCATGTCTGCGGGCTGTGGGCTGCAGATAGTGTTGATTTTGGGAGAGGGAACACAGGAAAAAAAGCTACCTTGAAGTTGACCTTAGTAATCAGTGCTAAACGTGAGACGTTATCTGTCTTTTTGGACACATTTTATTTGTAGGTTTTAAATATCATTTCAGTGACATATTAGATATATTCTTATTTTATAATTATGAAACATTTTTATAATACTGGACAGTGCTTTCAGGTGTCTGGGTGAATTAATGAGTTGTGTGAGAATTGTCTCATTTCTCTGCTAATTTGACTTGGTTAATGTGATACTTTCATCTTGAATGTGCTGTTGAGCTCCATATGCTCCTTGGTCTAGCTGCACACAGTACTTTGTATTCTATTTTTGCTTTTAATAGAGAGTGGAATTCTTTTACATCGGGTGTAGTATTTTCAGTTGATGGGTCACTTTAATAAAAAAAAAACATTAATTGAACATTTGCGTGGAACCTGTATTGCACAGTAACAAGACAATTGTTTTTTTATGACACTATTCAACACAGTTGATGTTTGCATAAGTGCTTCCAAGCTGAACATTTATTTAAAAGTTGTGTTAAAAAAGCTTTAAGTCCTTGCCTTTAAAAGGGTGCACTCACTGTGAAAAGGCCATTTTCTTCACCAACTTGTGCCCTGTTTGAATGGAGGTCAGCCCCAAACATTCCCCTTTAAGACACTCTGCCATGATACTTGCAGATCCCGGCCAAGTGGTAAGCTGTATTGTGAAGAGAGCAGTCTTGTACAAAGCATGCACATATTATTACTTTGCTTTTCCCCACCTGTTGTCTCTTGTCATTAAACTAGATGTTACATTCTGAGGCGAAGACTGTGCCTTTACTGCATAAGGAAAGGCAAGAAAAAAACCCTTCAGGGCAAAAGACATTTCAGCTGACTTTTTTTTTTTTTGAGCAAGGGGGTAAGGGAGCGAGGAGAACTAATTTTCTAAAAATATAAATTGTCAGTTGGGGATATATCATGATTACATGGGGAAAAATCTCTCAGCAGGCAATACAGTTTAATAGCTGCTGGCTAATTGCTTTGCAGACAAGAAAAAAAATGTCAGTGTGAGTTCTGACTTTCTTACGAACTGGACATCAAGTGGAAAACACTTCAATACAGTATACCATGTAGTTAGGAGGATTTACTGCTGCGGTGTCCTGACAGGTCTCTGGCTCTGTCGATCATTATAACCAGAAGGCTGCTTGCATGTGGGCTCAATGATGTGGGCACAATGACCACAGCAGACCCCAAGAGGGCCCCCAAAGACCACAAACTAGATAAGGATCGAAGGTGCCAGGCCAGGCTTATTGTTGAGGGAAGTGCAACAATAGTTGTCAGTAGACTCTACTGAACCACTGCACATATGTACTTGCCACAATGGAATGACTCAATCAGTAGGAAATTTCCACTGCCCCTTAGGTCATAGAAAGACTGTCCCGACAAGACACCACTTTATATACAGGTCCAAACAACTCACACCTCATTGCTGACGTATCAGGTTGCCACCCTCTGATGTTGTCAGGTTACCACACTCTGACGTTACTTAGATACCACCCATCACCCTGTACTTCGTGGTTTGATTATATTGTCTCTATCCATCATGCTGTCATTTTAGACCAGGACTACTCAATTTGTGGGCCACATGTGGCCCACGGCTCATTTTTTTTGTGGCCCACGGTGCGGTTTGAGTTTACACAGGGATCAACACGCAGCCCACAGGTGGGATCCTTTGAATATGGCCTCCACTGGGAACACACCCCACAATGGCGAGTCAATAGAATGATCTGTTGAGGTGCGTTTTAGTAGTTCAATTCTTGGACTGTCATCTGACTTAAATGGGGCCTGTGTGTTTTATAGTCTTGCCTTAAACTTTGTATTCATGCCCGTCAGTGTGAAAGAAGCTATTTGCATATATTTGCATGTATATGCAGCCACCCTTAAGTTGCAGCCCTCGGCATGTGCTGAGTACCAGTGTGGTCCCCGGGGCTTCCATAGTTGAGTAGCCCTGTTTTAGATCTTTTCCTGAACCTGGGTCTGTATCTGTGAGGAGTGAGTACCAAGGTCTTTTTTAATGAGTTGGTGATACCATGTGATTTCAACTTATGACCAGCACCAAATTATTGTTCTGCACCTGGCCCTATTACCAATGAGTGTTTTGCACTCTCAGCTCTGTTCATGCGAAATTCTGTGAGCAGAGGCCTGCCTCTTGTGCACAGCTTAGCTTTGCTTTATGTTAGCCATGTTTTGTCCATTGTTAGCCTGTGCTGCATGGCCTTATGTTTTAGACCTTCATTTTACTACATACCAATGTGCAAATGAACCCTGGCTTGTAGTTTTAGGTTTCATTTGTATCTGAGCCTTCTAAGAAATTGAAGGCTTAATGATGGGTTTGGAGGGTTTTGTCAGATTTCTTCCCACTTAATTTGCTTGATAGAATCACATAGGACCAAAAATTATTAATGTTGATGCTATTGAACAGCACTGGAGCCAAAGATAATCTACCTGATCTCTCTCCCCCTCCCCCTTTACATTTCTCATCTCTTTCTTTGATATGAACATGTATTTTTTTTGGCTTCAGGGTTGCCTGCCAGGAGTTGATTTGGATTTCTAGTGCAAATTGGTTTCAGAAAGAGTTGAAACCTATGCATTTCAAAGGGAAAAGTTTTGCCTTGACTTTTTCTAGGAGATTTTGGATAAGCTTTTACTCATGAACAGCTTTTCTAGTTGAAATCACATTTGTCCAGCGTTTGGTTGTGTGATCCAGACTTGCACAGTTGAGAGCTCCTGTGTCAGTGACTTCAAGACACAAATCGATGCTGGTATCTATAGGGCAGGGCATGTTCACACGCCTCTAAGAATGTATAAAGTAATTAAAACTCAGAACTGTGTCTTTAATTGTGGTACTGGGGAAACTCTCTTGTATTTTGGTTTCCTAAAAATATTTATTTATTTGAGCATTTTTTATTTATTCGTATTACCATAGTGCACAGGAGTTATACAGGGATCCCACTGTGCTATTGAGTGGCTCAGTAGCCCACAGTGAATGCTGACTTTGCTGTTCATTGGGCAACTGAATCAATGCACCAATGAATTTTACTGTGCATCTTTACAGCTTCTCTTCTTCCTGGTTCTGCTTTGCCTTCTCTCATATTCTCGTAAAACTGCAGTTCTCAAAATTCTGGAGCCCAGCGATCAAGCCCTAGCTAAGTTCCCGTTCTATCAACTTTTAGCTTTTTAGTGTCCAAAATTTAATGTGCTTAAAATGTCACACTTCAATTTAACCTCACTTCATCTACTATTAATTTGCAGTTTGAGCATGTTACCAGAGATTAAGCTGATGGAGTACTGATGAAGTACTTTGCATCCAATGATCCTTGTCAAACGTATACTGTATAAAACTGGGAGATTATTATACACACTCTGCTGGGTTTTTTAAGGAAACTAGAAGTCCTTTCCAACTCTTATCATTCTCTGATTTGCTATAATAAAAATGTGGTTGAGTAAAATTTTGATATACCCTTAAATTCATAAAAAAACAACAACAAATAGTCTGGTAGCACTTTAAAGGCTAACAAAATGTGTAGATGGTATCATGAACTTTCGTGGGCTCAGCTGGCACGTAAGAAACTTTCAACATGTTTTTATATTTAGGATTTTAAGTTTGAAAATAAAATTTGTGATGTGTTGCACTGATAAATCATCTAGATGTTGATACATTTATACGGAACTTGACAGGTGCAGTAACATTAGCTGACTTAGCAATTTAAAAAAACATAGCATGTTCTTGGCCAAATCTGTTTCTTTGGGGTAGTATAGTTTCAACTTGAAATATTTTGAAACGGTTCTGTTTGAAATATATTTTATAACATGTTTGGCCCGTGATCACACTTGAATTGGATGCATTGCACAGAAACATCTTTGTTTCATACATCTCTTCAAAAAAGATTTTTGACTTGTGAAATAAATACTGATAAATAATTTATGTTTCTGGTTTTCCTTTTTAGGGGAATTATTGAAGCTCGTTTTGTTTATGTCTTTGTTCTTGGCATAATCTTCACTGGAACCAAAGACTTACTCAGATCACAGGTGATATCTGCAGACTGCAAGACAAAAAGTATTGGTTTATGGGAAGTATATAGCGGATTAGTTCTTCTAGCAGCCCTGCTATTTAGACCCCACAACCTGCCAGTTTTGGTGTTTTGTCTGCTGATTCAAATGATAATGACAAGATGTATCTGGAAGCCATTACAATTTGATGCAGCTCAGATTACTATAATGCATTATTGGTTTGGCCAAGCTTTCTTCTATTTCCAGGTAAGCTTGATAATACAACTTCAATAAAAATAATATACGTGGTGTTATTCTACCATGTGTTGTGTTAAATAGGGCCTGCTCCTGCAAATATCAAAATGAGTGGGACTACTCATGAAGGATGAGCCCCCTACATTTCAGTTAACTTGGTAGAGAATAAAGTTATATAGGATGGTGTAACATTTGCATGCACATACAGACAACATATAGAGCCCTGCACGAATGCAGATTTATACCTGTGGATATAAATTGGTATCTGCAGAACTGCAGGGCTCTCCCTGGGATTGCAGTGATGAAAGGAGCAGAAGATGATGATGCCACTCCCAGGAGCCAGTACACTGTGCCGGCAGTTCCTCCAGTGCACTGTACCACCCCCAACCCTGCCCTGTCCCTTCCATGCAGCTGTCTCTTCCTCCGGTCCAGGGGCCTGTTGTTGGACATGGTGCCCACCTCAGTGGCTGGAGCTGCAGGTGATACAGCTGCACCAGAGTTGCTGCTATCACAGGGCACTTGTTCCCAGAGGCGGTGGCTCCATTGTGGTTCTTTTGTCATTGTGGTTCCTGGGAGAGTCCTGTGGTTCTGTGGCTACCGATTTATATCCGCATCCTGGGTATGCATTTGTATCCACATAGGACTGTTCATATAAATAGTGATTGCGTGTGTGTGTGTGTGTGTGTGTCTCTCTCTCAGGCCTGTTACTAATAAAATATAATATAATAAAATATATCCTGTCACATATGGGAAAGAGCAGCTTCTGAGAATAGTGATACAACTTTCAGAATGTTTTATTCTTAATAGTTTAACATCAGCTACTCAACAGGGATTGGTAATTTGTGGAAGGAGTAGAACTTCAGAAATAAAGTATATACAAAAAGAAATATGTAAAGTCCATTAAGGGGGGGCAGGAGATATTAATAGGGGTAGTTTCAGAGAGAACACTGAAGAACTAAGTGGACAAAGAGTAAAAATTTTAAAAGCTGTTTTATAACTCCTGTGGTCCATGTTAATTAAGATGTTTAATAACACATTTGAGAAGGTGTTTTGCCAAATTCTCAGAAGTGCTTTGATTTCTTGTCATAGTATACATATTTATTGCAACTGTTTTTCTTTAACTGGGGAAAAGATCGGGTAACACCAATAAATATTTTAATCATGGACTGTAGCACAGGCAAAAACATAGGCTTGTAAAATCAAATTCATTCACCTTGACTGGATCACACTGGTTCTTTAAAAAATATTCCACTTTAATATGGAGTTCTGGTTCATGACTAGAGTGTTAGGTGCTACTGCAATATGAAGAATTAATCTAAAAATGTTAACTGACTTTTAAAATAGCAACAGGTAAATCTACTTATGTCCCTAACTTGAGGTATACAAAGTCTCTGAACTGGAATAATGTGCAACTTTAATATAGCTTAGGTGAGGTGAAAACTATTGTAAGTATATCATTTCAGTCAAAAGCCGAACGGGCCAAGTTCTGCTGTCTTTAATCAACACACTGAACTGTACCTTACTCTGAGAAGCTTAATTGATTTCAATGAGTAGAGCTGTTCCGTTGTGAGAATAAGGGTGCTGTAATCTAACCCTAAAGGTAATGCTGGGGGTATAGAGTATAAGGAAACATTCTATATGGACAGTGATTTGGGACTGTAACATTTTTCTTTCTCTTTTCCCTTCTGGCCTTGGTTAGTTTAATGAGTATTTTCATCCCTGTGGCAAGGAGATATGTGGCTTGGCTTGGCTTTGTTCTGGGAGGTCAGTCATAAGGAACTGCTGTCACTTTTTTCTTGCTTTGTGAGGCTATATTCCGTATGAGGTTTGAGGATTGCTGGCCATGATTTTGTCAGGGAAATTATCAGGGACCTTTTCTTAACTTTGTATACAGTATTTTTATTGTAAATTTTGGGAAATAATTATATTTAGAGGAAAGATGTTAATTTGACTGTGGCTGGATCAGTATAATTGAGACGTGCTATTCACATGAAGATATGTAAAAGCCTGTTTACTTTGACTCCTGGTCCTTTTTTGCTTTGTTACATTGTATTGGAAGATGGAAAAAAATAAAATTTTAAACCTTGGATTTAACAACTGTAACAAATTTAATACAGTTAAATCAATTTTTTTTCTTGTGGCAGGTTGCTACTGTAAGTCAATAGCTTGTGAACTTCAATGAATTTTTCAGCAAGCTTGACTGATCATTATTTTCCTGAGCCTCAAGGCATCCACTCCTTCCTTTGGATCATTAATTTCCTGGAAGTGCCCTATGGCTTTATCATTGCTGTTTAATTCAGAGCATACAGTGACACTAGAAGCAAAGGTTACTTAAGTCTTCATTAATTATAGAGCCCTAAAAAGTGTAGACTGTTGTCTTCATGCTGAAATTGATGTTCATAAGCAGCGACAGCTAAAAGTAAAGAATAGCTTTTAAAAGTCTCCACATTGAATTGAGGTTTCGGTTAGTATTCCAGTGTCTGCTTCATAATCAAGAAAATAGCAATTGAAAATATGTGGAGGTTCATATTAGTAAAACTTTATTCAAAAGCACGTAGAATGCAAAATTGTCAGGAGGGGATGACCATTGGCAATTGAGGCTTCCATGTGATTGCACCGGTCAGATTTGGCTGCTTTAACTGTCTTGAAAACAATTGCCTGCAAGAGAGAGGAAGGAGATTGTAAACTAAACCCTTCAGTATTGTTTTGACCTTTCTTTGTTTGTTTTTATTGATTGGATTCAAATAATTGTTTAAAATAACGCTTGAGATTTTTCTTGCACAATCTGTACATTAATTTATTCTGCCTGATGCTCTAGGTACTAACGTAAAGCATATATTTTAAGGCTAGATCTTGAGGAAAAGCAAAGAGAAGAAGTCCTAATTTTCTGAATTGTTAATCTACTATTAAAGCAGATTGGAAACTCATTCCACCTTTCAGACGTCTAAGCGATATCTTTGTTTTATTTTCAGGGGAACTCAAATAGTATTGCTTCAGTGGATATTTCAGCTGGTTTTGTGGGATTAGACAACTATGTGGAAATACCAGCAGTTTTTCTTACAGGGTTTGCAACGTATGCAGGACCTTTGCTTTGGGCCATTCACTTGCTGTGCTACTTGAGTTCTGAAGTTAGCAGGTAATTCTCTGAACTAAAAGCTAATCAAATTAAAAGTAATAAATGAGTATCACAGATGCAGAAAAGCATCTCCATGATGTAAACCCATTTTAGAAACTGGAGCTAATATGCTTTTCCCTCCTTAACTTTAGCTCATTGTTGCTCTTTCTGTCCTTTTTATAGGTAACTTTTAATCCTCCGTCTGTTTGTATTCTCATGTTTAACAAAACTGTGCCAGATCCATAGGGTTTTTAATCATCTTCACGTTCATGAGAGTGGTTGTTGTATTCCCATTTCCATTCTTTCATTTGTCAGTAGATTCTCTCTCCATCTGTGTCAGTATAACCAGTGCCCAGCAGAGTGGGGTAAAACAGCGTTCATGGTACTGCAAGGGAGAGAAGTAACACAAAGTTCCTGTAACTCTCTTACTTTGGTTTCAGGTTTAAAATTTGAGGTTTTAAGAATATTTTGAAAACTTTACTCTGGACAATGTACTGTATTCATGCAGATGGGAACCTGTCATCTTTTCCAAAGGGAGAATGGCTCATATAACACTTTTAAAATGCATTATAACAAAGATGATACTTTGTAGCAGTGTTATGAGAGAGCTTAAATAGAAACTCATACAGATTTTGCTGAATAATATGCCCCTGCAGCAACATAAATGTTTCTCAGTTTTAAGTTGGATTTTTGGAGACCGAACAAATTCTTCCTTACTTCTATCAGTGTAACTTTAGCAATGGCTCACTGAGGAATCCATTCAGAGTTTAAAGAATTTGTTAAAGAAAATGTTGCATTTTTGTAAGTATTTTTATAAATTTGAAATTATGTCAAAGGGATTGATTTTTGAGGTCTAGTACATAATTTTGTATAAATTAGGAGTAATTTGACACTCAAAAGTTAGCACATTATTTAAAAAAATATTTTTGTACTGTTGAAAACTGGAAAGGATAATTCTCCAATTTTGAGATATAAAATGCATCCCTTTGTTCTATAGCTTACCAGATATTTGTCCACCTCGCCCCCCCCCTTTTTTTTTTGGTTGTTGCTTTTGGTTGGTTAAGGTCAAATGCAGCAGGCTAATGTTTCATCTGAATACAGCCGGTCCCTGACTTACAAACTCATTGACGCACGACCAACCGCACTTACGACTAGCCTCCCATTAAGCATGGCCCTGACTTATGAACGGTAATCCGTGCTTACGAAAAACACAGTCCCATTGAAATGAATGGGGTCTAACTTACGAACACATCGAATTACAACCAAGTGTTTGGAACGTAACTCGTTCGTAAGCTGGGAACTGGCTGTATTTTGGGTAGAACTTGCAACATCTTTAGTCTTTCATGGTTTGCTGCTGCAGATACTGTTAGGTTGGGTCTGTGTGGGTATGTCTCCACTGTAGACCCCTACAATTGACCTGTGCCAGCAGTCTTGGACTTATGGGGCTGGGGCTGTTTAATTGCAGAGTAGAGGTTCAGGCTCAGGGACCTCCCACTTTGCAGGGTCCTAGAACCTGAAGGCTAACTTGAGCCCGAACATCTGCACTGCTGTTAAACACCCACTTAGCCCAAATCAGCTGGCATGGTCATGCCATGGGACTTTAACTGCAGTATGGACAGACCCAGTATTTTTTCCTTTACATTTAGGGATTATCAGTTCAGTGCTGAGTTTCTACTTTCCTTAGAACTGAGGCTGAAACACTGGAGAGAAGAAAGGGGTCTGCAGGTCTGACTCACTACTTTAAACATATTGCAACTCTAGGTCTTAAAAAGCCTTTTATGCTCTAAACATTCTTTATATAGACCTCTTGTGATACATTGTTAAATATGCCTAGTGTAGCAGTAAAGTTGCTGCTGACTTCCCAATTTGCTGTTGTGCCTCTCACTAGTTTTCAAATGCTTAAAGTTTGAATCATTCTTTTAATTGGCCTAATGAGCTTGGTTTCAGGGTGTGCTGCTGAATATCTTCTGGAAATGAAAAATAGTTTTATAGCCATCATCTTAGGTTTTAATAAATCTTTTGTAGATCTATTGGCATAGTAGGCATTCGGTTGAATGAGAGCTTTTTCAGATATTGTAGGTGGAAATTGCTCAGAACAATAGTATGCTAGTAGCTATAAAATGTTTAATATTTATAACAGCAGTATGTCATTCAACAAACTTAAGTTTGTTGCTTGTCTAATAGGCTTTCACAAATAATATAAGGGGCTTATTACTTAAGTGACTGTAAAATTGTTACAGTGCTGACAAAATAAAATGAGGATATGTTGGTTAGAGGAAATACTATAGCTCAGGATAGCTCCTCCCCCATTTAATCTTCAGACAGTTTTATCCCTAGCTTGTACCTTATCTAAAGTAATCCTTTTACCCTCAGTATAAATTCAGAGGCATGCACTGCTCATGTAACTTATTTCAAAGTCAATTTTTCATCGCTATAAAGAGGCAAAGCAAGAATTTTCTCGGAATTGCAGCAATGATACTGCTTTTTAAAATACTGCTGCTGCTGCCCCTGTCCATCAGCACAGGAGGAAGAAAAGAATTGCTCCCACTATGTTCATGTAATAATATTATAGAGAGGGAAGAATCCATGTTGCGTATCCAGGTCCTGCCACTGGCAGTAGCCTGGCCGGGTTTAAAATCTACACCGGAAACATCTACATTTTGTGTTTCTCTGCCCACTCTCCCACAGAACCCAGCTAGAGGGGAGGGGAGTGTCAAACAATCCCCTGCTTCCCAGAAGCCAGCTGCAGCTCTCCTCCCGCCCCCGCCCCCCCGCTACTCCAGATCAGGCATTCTCACCTGCTACCCTCCTAAGCCCAGGGACCCAGAGGGAGAAAGCAGATGGATGTTGGGTCCCAAGTCTGCATGGAGTTTCCTGCACAGCACTGTCTCCTTTCTTTGGAGCATACTGGGAACTCTGTCCTCCCCTGGCCTCGTCTTTTATTTGTGAGCTGGGCTTTCTTGTTCCAGCAGCCCTTAGTGGCAGCCAACATCTCTGATTGCTGCAAAATTCTGCACTGTGCAGTGGTACAGAATTCCCTCATGAATAACAGATTGCACTTTATTGTCTTCCCCTCAATTGTTCTTCATATTAAGTCTTGTCCTTAACATGAAGAGGGTTTTTACGTTTAGTATATCTGCAGAATGTGCTGAGAAGTTATTTATCTTCATAACTGAACTAGTTTGTTCTCAGATCGATTTTTATTGATTCTCAAGTGTACAGAATAACGTGCTACATGTTAATAAAAAGAGGCAAAAGATAAAATATGGGAAAAGATGTTGTGTTCATCTTTTAAGCAAGTACTTTGGCCAGCACCGTGTTCAGAGAGAACTTTCAAACCTAATGCTGTGACAGAAATTTCAACATACAGAGGTGATGAGATTTAAAACTTACCTCCTCAAAATCCAAGATGAAATGCAGAGAACATGTCTTAAACTATAGTATGGCCATGAAAAATGCAGCACATGGACCGTGAAATCTGGTCTCCCTCCCATGAAATCTGATCTATCATGTACTTTTATCTTATAGCACACAGATTTCACAAGGGAGATCCATATTTCTCAATTTAAATTGGGGGTCTTGACCCAAAAGGGACTTGCAGGGCACTTGCAAGGTTATTTTGAAGGAGAGGGAAGTAGTATTGCCATCCTTATGTCTGCACTGCCTTCTCTGGCCACCCAGCTCTGAGCAGAGGTTGTTGGCCAGCAACCCAGCTCGGAAGGCAGTACCCTACCAGCAGCAGTGCAGATGAGTGGCAATACCGTACCATGCCATCCTTACTTCTGTGTTGTTGCTGCTGCTGGCAGGGCTCAGCCAATAATCACTGCTCTCCAGCTGCCCAGCTGTTAAGGCAGCATCACTGCCAACAGCAAAGCACAAGTAAAGGAACCTGAACTTCCCCTACAATAGCCTTGTGACACACCCACACACCCCCAAAACTCCTTTTTGGGTCAGGACCCTGACAATTACAATACTGTGAAATCTCAGATTTCAGTAGCTGAAATAACATTTACAGTTTTAAAAATCCTATGACTATGAAATTGACGAAAATGGACTGAATTTGGTAGGGCCCTAATGATAGTCATTGTTGTGTATCTAGCTATGGCTAGAGTTCATCGAAGTTTAGATGAAAGTGTAATGTGTTGGAGACCAAGTGGGAGCATTCCCATGTGGCTGGCCTGGTTGTGCAGTTACATGTTTCATAAGTAGAACAGAAAATGGCATGTAAGAGCCAGAGAGTCTGGCTACAGCAATGCAAGGTTTTGAAATCAGGGGGGATTGTGTGGGTAGGCTCAGTTTGGTTTCTCTTTGGCTGCTCCATCTGGCTTCACTCCTCTTCTTTGTCGTCTTGGCAGCATCATTCATTGAGAAGTGGGTGGGGTGGGGGTAGAGAATAAGCACTAGTCTTCTCTGCAGCAGGTAGATTGAGTAGGCTTTTTGAAATGATTGCTTCTTTCTTCTACGTGCTCTGATCAGCAATAAAATAGGGGAAATTTACGTTATTAGTGTTAACACCTCACTGGGGTCACGTCTTCACTTCCTGGAAGAGCCACACTACGGCGCTTGATCTTTCAGCATTTAATTTTAACTAGTCTAGTGAAGACCCATTCACTTGAACGCTAAGCATGCCCCTGTCGGCACCAAACTCTTATTCCTCACAAGGGCGAAGGGAAGTTGATGGGAGCGTCTCTTCCATCGACCTCCTGCTGTCAGGATGGTGCAGAAACTCAGCTTAAGATTCATCGACTCCAGGTATGTTTTTTACTTAGCTGGAATTATGTCTCTTAAGCTGACCTTTGGCTGTAGTGTAGACCTGGTCTCTGATGAGCTGGGGCAATTTGCAGCTTTTTGTTGTCTGCAAACAAGTTCCTGCCCCTGCATTGGTTCACACTCTGTTCACATTTTGAAGGTTTTCTTTGCAACCCTAATTGCTAGAGGTTTAAGTTTATATTTTTAATGAAAGCTCAAATTCTGGAGAGCCCAGTAGCAGCTTTTGAGCGGTAGGGGGAGGAGGAAGTATG